TAAAGACTTGAATGCAAGACCTGAAACCACAAAACTTCTGGGAGAAAACAGAGGCAGTATACTCTTTGACATTGGTCTGGCAGTATCTTTTGGATATGTCTCTTCAGGCAAGGGAAAGAAAAGAAAAAATAAACAAATGGGACTACATGACACTGAAAAGCTTCTGTGCAGCAAAGGAAACCATCAACAAAAGAAAAAGACAACTTAGCAATTGGGAGAAGATATTTGCAAATCATATATTTGATAAGAGGTTAGTATCCAAAATGTATAAAGAACTCATACAACTAAACAACAAAACAAACAACCTGATTAAAAAATGGGTAGAGGATCTGACCAGACATTTTTCCAAAGAAGATATACAGATGGCAACAGGCACATGAAAAGATGTTTGAAGTCACTAATTATAAGGGAAATGCAAATCAAAACCACAATGAGATATCACCTCGTGTCCATAAGAATGGCTATTATTCAGAAATAGAAGTATAATGATGTACACCTGAAATTTATACAGTGGTATAAACCAATGTTACTGCAATAAACAAAAAATTAAAAATAAATAAATAAATAAAAAGACAAGAAATAACAAGTGTTGGAGAGGATGTGGAGAAAAGGGAACCCTCGTACACTGCTGGTGAGACTGTAAATTGGTGCAGCCACCATGGAAAACAGTATGGAGATCCTTCAAAAAATTAAAAATACAACTACCATATGATCCAACTATTCCACTTCCAGGTATTTATGCAGAGAACATGAAAACACTAATTCAAAGATATGTGCACTCCTACATTCACTGCAGCATTATTTCCAATAGCCAATACTTGGGAAACAGCCTAAGTGCCCATCAACAGATGAAAGGATAAAGAAGCTAGGGAATACTACTCAGCCATAAAAAAGGTGAAACCTTGCCATTTGTGAGAACATGGATGGACCTTGAGAGCATGATGCTAAGCAAAATAAGTCAAATGGAGAAAGACAAATACTGTATGATTTCACTCATACGTGGAAGACAAAAACGACAACCACATAGATACAGAGAACAGATTGGTGGTTACCAGAGGGGAAGGGCGTTGGGGAGGGCATTTGTACTGTGACAAATGGAAACTAGACTTTTGGTGGTGAACACGATGTAGTGTATAAAGCAACTGAAATACAATGATGCTTACCTGAAATTTATATAATGTTATAAACCAATGTTACCTCAATTAAAAAAAGAACTGAGAAAATTTGTTCACATTAATAAGTAGACGGGAATAGGAAATGTTTTGTTATAGCAGTAACAGTCAATTCTTTGAACTCATCCAGAGGCATATGCTAAAAATGACATAGTGGGCCAGCCCTGGTGGTGCTCCGCTTCCGTGGCCTGGGTTTGGTTCCTGGGCGCAGACCTACACCACTCTTCCGTTAGTGGCCATGCTGTGGTGGCAGCCCACATATAAAAAGAGGAAGATTTGGGCCGGCCCTGTGGCTTAGCAGTTGAGTGTGTGCGCTCTGCTGCTGGCGGCCCGGGTTCGGATCTGAGAGCACACCGACGCACCGCTTCTCCAGCCACGCTGAGGCCGCGTCCCACATGCAGCAACTAGAGGGATGTACAGCTATGACATACGGCTATCTACTGGGGCTTTGGGGGAAAAAAATAAATAAATAAAAAAAGAGGAAGATTGGCAGCAGATGTTAGCTCAGGGCGAATCTTCCTCAGCAAAAAATAAAAACAAAACAAAAGAAAAAAAAAATCACATAGTGATCTCTCAGCAAAAAATTATTTTTAATGTTCCACCAGATGACAACATTGAATGCAAAGAACTGGAAGCTACCTGAACTGTAAAAGGCTTTTTCAACATCAACACCAGTATTCCAAATTGTCCCTTGGTTTTGTACCTTGGAGGTATTTCCATTCCAGGGCCAAGTACCATATTAAGATTAGGGATGGGATGGGTCAGTGGTTTGTTTAAAATAAGCAGAGAAAGAAAGAAATGAAGAAGGATGGAAAAGGTAGGAGAAAGAGGACAGTGCCAAGAGAAGTGGGAAAGGAGAAACTGTAGGTGAGGCGCATGCTACAACAAATCAATTTTAGGCAAAAGCACATATGAAAGCTGCAGATCTGGAAGATCTGGAAATTGATTCTGTTAAAATGCTGACCCGTTGGACATCATTTACGCACTGCCAGAGGGACACATATACCAATCTGCAGACGTTTCTAAATGTATTTCAATATGCGTCAACTCAATTCTTTCAAACAACTCTATGAGATATCTCCTTTATTCCCATTTTACAGATAAAAGTTAGGGGCTGGCTGGGCCATCCCCGTGGCTTAGAGGTTAAGTGCGCATGCTCCGCTACTGGCGGCCCGGTTTGGATCCCGGGCATGCACCGACGCACCGCTTCTCCAGCCATGCTGAGGCCGCGTCCCACATACGGCAACTAGAAGAATGTGCAACTACGACATACAGCTATCTACTGGGGCTTTTGGGGGGGGGGGTAAAAAAAAGGAGGCGGATTGGCAATAGATGTTAGCTCAGAGCCAGTCTTCCTCAGCAAAAAGAGGAGGATTAGCATGGATGTTAGCTCAGGGCTGATCTTCCTCACAAAAAAAAAAAAAAAAAAAATTAGGGGCTGGCCTGGTGGCGTAGTGGTTAAGTTTGTGCGCTTCTGGCAGCCCGGGGTTTGCAGGTTCGGATCTCGGGCGAGGACCTACATACCACTCATCAAGCCATGCTGTGGCGGGCGTCCCACATAAAGTAGAGGAAGATGGGCATGGATGTTATCCCAGGGCCAGTCTTCCTCAGCAAAAAAGAGGAGGATTGGCAACAGGTGTTAGCTCAGGGCTAATCTTCCTCACCAAAAAAAAAAAGTTAAATAACTTGCCCAAGTCACTTAGTTAGAAAATGAAGGAGTTAGGATTTAGACCTAGGCAGTTTTTAACTATTATACATTACTATTTCTCTATAAATTTAAGAGCATGGCTCCAAGGAATCTTTTCAAATCTTGGTTCAATATGTTAAAACTCCTGTATAGGAACAGAAAATGAAAAACTTTGTGTGTTCTTTTGAGTAGTAACACCACAGGCAGAGTACATCAGAAAAGCTTTGTTCAAATCCTGGGTCTGACCCTTACTGGATGTATAATTTTGGCCAAGTACTTAATCTCGTTGAGCCTCAGTCCTCTTATTTGTAAAATGGAAATAATAATGATAATGATATCCATCTACTAGGAAGGATGCCATAACGTTCTGGTTTTCACAAGACAGTTTTGATTTATGCCTGTTGGCCAACATAATTATTAACAGCACCTCCTTTTACTCTCAAAGGTATCTGGACATTAAATCATATGGCCACCCTTCTCACAGGGTTGTCTTGAATATTAATGGTGATATTGTGTGTAAAAGTGTCTTGCCGAGTACCTGGATGATAATAAACACTCAAATGTTAGCTATTACAGTTAGGTATAAAAAATGTTTTACAAACTATAAAACATTAAACAGTTGTTTTTTACAATTGTAAATTGCATAATGCTTTATAAAAATGATTTATAAATTGTAAAGCACTAAACAATTGTAATGATGACTACTATTTGCCTAGTCCTTTTAGTTTCTCCTAAGTTCCATAATTGCCTTCCCCACTTCATTTTTATCTTTGCAACTGTGTGAAACAGATAAGGCAGGTATCACCTCATTTAAGAGATGATTTACTGAAATCAGTATTGTCAGCTTCTAGAGAAGCCTCTGGGAACTCTGAATGAGGGCCTTTTCCAGCAGATTTTTCCTTTAAGACTTGCATGCTGCACTAGTTCACTCTGCATAAAGTAGAAGTATAACCTAATGATTCCCCTGTTCACATCATTATGCACCAATTTTGCCTTGTATACATCCTCCGTAGTGTCTAATGATGTCATGTGTGCACATAACATATATAGTCCATATACGACATATACATGCCTATGCAGATAGGTGTATAGGAATATATGTATATGTGTCTTTGCGTGTGTGTTTAGTGACTGAATCATTAAAACATTAAAACTGGCACCAACGTCTCACTTTGGGCATCATTATGTCAGTAATACTTTATTTTTTTTATTTATTTATTTTTTTTAAAGATTTTATTTATTCATGTTTTTCCCCCCAAAGCCCCAGTAGATAGTTGTATGTCGCAGGTTCACATCCTTCTAGTTGCTGTATGTGGGACTCGGCCTCGCGTTGGACGGAGAAGTGGTGCCTTGGGGCGCGCCCGGGATCCGAACCCGGGCCACCAGCATCAGAGCACACGCACTTAACCGCTAAGCCACGGAGCCGGCCCAGTAATACTTTAGAACTTAGATAAAACTATGATTTTAAAGATTAAAGGTAGGATTTTTATTGATTATTTTATTGCAGATGAAGAATTTGTCCCACTTTCAGAAGGCTAATTTCTCCCATTTAAACCTTAAGTATGTTAGGATCCTTTACCATTCTACCTACAACCTAGCTGAACTGAACTGATTAGGAAACATATTCTTGTTAAGTAGCGTGGAAGATCCAACACAGGTATTCTCTTTTAATGACTACTGAGCTATGTAACTTCATGGCAGCATACCAAAGTGGTTAAGACCACAAGCTCTCAGCTCTGTCACTTAATAGCTATGTGACCTTGGGAATTTACTTAACCATTCTGTGACTCAGTTCCCTCACCTGTAAAATAGGGCTACTAATAGTACCTACCTCATAAGGTTGTAAGGACTCAATGAGTTAATGCAAGTCAGAAAAGTGCCAGACATATAGTAAGTATTCAATATATGTTAGCTATTAAGAGGACCAAAGTGCACTTAAGGATTTTTTTTTGGTTCACAAAACTGAACTACAATATGTTGTACTTTTCAAAAATGATTCTGTCTCTTACCAACCAAATTGTTCTTAAAAATTTAGGAGAAATATCTTTGCAAAACATGTTCTTTAGGTTGCTAATATCTTTATTATTTTTATTACTAATCATCTAAAATGGATATTTTTTAAAAGACTAATTTCTACTTACAGATTTAGAAGGTGGAGGATTCGGGCAATTATTCTTGGCTTTTAGATAAGGCCTGTAAAAGACAAAATAAGATTAATTCTTAGTACAGAAGGATCAGCAAGGCTTGGGAATTATAGTGATTAAAAATTATTATCATTAGAATTTTAAATCTTTAGAATTTCTGTATATGGTAAAATAATTCAAAACTATATTCAATAAAAAGTCTCCTTATCATCCCTTCCTTGGTCCTGTTATGCTCAGAGACTACAACCGCTCTTATTCATTTTTTTTTGTGCTTCTTTCAGAGATGTCCTATGCATAAATATAGCATTCTAACAATATTAATGAAATATACGTATTTTCTTCATATTTGCATAATCTTATTCATTCAGACATCATTCTCTGAACACTGCAATGTGCCAGGCACTAGAGATACAATGCCAAATACGATAATTAATTGCTTCTTTAAGAAATTTTCTTGTTTTAAGTATCTTCAAATAGTGAATTCTCAGGGAGAGAAGAGGGACATAATTTAAAAAACAGGCACATATGAAATCTAGCTAGTGAGACCGAAAATGCAGAAAAATAGGAGAGTAGAGGAGAATTTATAAGGATTCAATCTCCATGGATCAAAAACAATTGCCAGACTAACAGGGACTTTGATCATGACTTGACGTTTGTCTCTCCCATCTTGAACGTAAGCCCTGGGAGGGCAAGGACTTCTGTCTTCTTAAGCACCATATCTCCAGAACCAAGAGTGACTGATATACTATATGTCGCAAATAAATATTTGTTGAATAAATGAATTAGGTTTACTTAATCAAGGAAACAGAGTTGAGTAAAAACTCAAAGTAAAAGAAACTAAAATAAACGGTGAAAGTTAACTTTGTAAAAATTCACTTTCAAATAAAAACTTAGCAACATGGTGGGGAGAAAATATATTGATGCTAAATAAGAGGGATAAATAACACCACTAAGATGGCAAGATGTGGACAAAAGACAAAAGTGAGGCAGTCATATTCTGTCCACCTCAAGAGTAAGTGCTAAGAGAATGACCAAAGAGCACTGTCAGGCTAGAGGATGCCGCTGTGCAGCTGTGCAGGACGGATTGCAACCGACTCTCCTGCTTTAGCAAGAAACTCCAGAACCAGGGTCATTCAACTCCTTGACCAAACATTACCTTCATGAGAATCACTGTCCCAGGAAAAAAAGCAGAGAGAAAAAGTTTCCAGCATTGTAGGTGATGTTGTAGACCCTCCCCTCCTTCCTTTGGAGACTGTCACAAAATGCTTAAATAATGCTTAGATCTTTGCCCAGTGCTTTTTGTTATACCTGGACTGAAACGCCCTTTTTCTCATAGGATCCCATCACAGACTGAGTAGACTGCAAACAAAAGAGCTGTGGTTTTGAAAAGGCTTTAAATTGCCATTAGCAACCAGGGCAACAAAACTCACGTAACTGTGGGAGATAAACTCACTTGGTGTTTTGGCACTTCAGTTTTCCCTTGGCTGCTAGGTACTCCTGGAGCTTTCTCTGTCGCTCTTCTGCAAAACAGGCGAGCAAACACACAACAGAACTTCAGCTCGATTTTCACCAGTTCATTTATATTCTAAAAGATGACACTTTTCTGTAATGATTTGGGCTTTGGATCATAATGTTATCAAGTCCCTAGCCCTAAACATGTGCCTCTAGGTTAATATCAACATCATTTATATGCCATGTCCTATACTAAGCTCTTCACACTTACATTGCTTTCCTTACTGCACAATAATCATATGAGTTATTTTAGAGTCTGAAATCCAATGAGGGTAAAGGACATGCCCAACGCTACTCAGCTCATATATGGCAAAGCCAAGATGTGAAACCAGGTTTTTTTTTTTTTCCTTTGCTGAAGAAGATTCGCCCTGAGCTAATATCTGTTGCCCATCTTCCTCTTTTTTTTCGCCTTGAGGAAGATTCGCCCTAAGCTAACACCTCTGCTAATCTTCCTCCACTTTGTATGTGGGTCGCTGCCACTGCATGGCTGACGGAGGGGTGTAGGTCCGTCTCCAGGATCCGAACCCGTGAACCCCGGACCACCACGGAAGCCGAACACGCGAATTCAACCGCTGAGCCACCGGGCCGGCCCCAGAAATGGCCCCTCCTTAAGGGTTCTTATGTAAGGCGTCTAGGACAGTGCCCAGGACCCAGCAGACGGTCACGGGGCATCACTACTGACACCATCGGAGCACCGTGTGCATCTTGGCGCAGGCGGCATCTGAGCAGGAGCACTCTCAAAGGCGGCAAAGGGCTCCAGGCACATGCAAGGGGTCGGGGAGCCCAGGACCCCGAGCCCTCGGTGCAGAACGACCCCACCAGCTTCCCGCGCGCGCAGGCTCGGGAGGCGGCCAGGAGGGCCCCGCGCTGGGGTGGGGTGCTGCGTCTCGGCAGCTGTCAAGCTCGGGCGGCGCAGCACAGAGGGCCCCCCCCCGGACTCTGCAACCTGGGTCGGACAGCGCTTGGCCTCCTGCTGGACGTGCGACCCTGGGCAAGGGGCCTCGGCGTCTACACGAGGGGACAACGACCTCTTCCCGCAGGGCTGCCGCGGGAGCTGCCGGACGATGCCTGGGGGGCATCTGGCCCCGCGCACAGCCGCCCCACCCCCGCCCAGACGTCTCACGGGGGGCTCCCGTCAGCGCCCCCCGGAATGGAGACGCCCAGCGGGGCACAGCGGCAGGCGGGCGAGAGGACCGCAGCTGCGGCGGAGAGCGCTCACTGGAAGCCTCCCTCCTTCCCCACCCGTGCCGCAACGCCCGCAAGGCCCGGGGCTCACGGTCACTCTCACCCGCGGCGGCGGAGGGCGCGGGCGCCACCATGACTCCTCGGCGACAGTTTTCCTTCAAGGGCCGCGCCTGCAGCTGAGCCGGCGCGCCGCGGCCGCCCGCCCGCCCGCTCTCATTGGCTGCCGTGGGTTTGAAACCGGCCAGTCGGAAGCAGGGGAGGGCGGGACGAAAGAAAAAAGACGCTTGCGATTGGCTCTGCCTCTCAAGCCCTTTCCGGGGGGCCCTGTGATTGGAAGAACGTGAAGCGCCGCCGGCGGACGCCGTGTGCCGTCGGCCGGGGGCGCCTCCGGGCTGCGGGGCCGGGCGGGTGCGGGGG